TCTTGATGAGATGGTAGGAAAGGGAATCAGCCCAGATGCTGTCACTTATAATACGTTGTCTAGTGGTTTTTGCAAGGAAGGGAAGGTAGAACTAGCCTTCAGAATATGTGATCATATGTCTCACAAAGGAATAGATTTGGATGAAGTTGCTTACACTACTTTAATTCATGGATGTAACCCGCCATCAGCAAATGCAAATGAAGAATGATCTAGAACTCCTACAAGGTCGTGTTTTCACATGAACTGCTCTACTCAATATTTCATTGGATCTGTAATCAAATTGCTTAAAGGATTCTACTGATTTATCTTTGGCAGCCAGTTTCTGGGAGTACTCGGTTATATGGTGAAGTTATGTGCTGTCGATTTTGCTCTTTTCAAGGCAAACTGGTTATAAATCATGGGGCAGTGTTACCTCACCTTCGAGAACCTCTTGTTCTTTAGGTAAGGTCTTCATTAGCATGATATTACCTCTATAAGTTCTCAATTTAACTTGTTCTTTTCACTGATGTCTTATCTCTTCTAAACTGGTTCAGATTTTCTCCATATGCATCAGGGGAGTGATGTGTTTACTGATCAAATGATTGTTGCAGCAATAGTCTCATTATTTTAGTAAGTCTATTGACTCAATTGAATTTATATGACATGCTCTGCCTTGTTGATAATTGTCCTTGTATTTGTAGGTGTTCTTTGATCATTGTTTGAGCTTGTCCAAAATTTGAACCACATCCTTTTGTTTTATGGAATATCCGTCTGAAACTTTAAACTAGATTCCTTGAACCACTTGCACTTATATGCATTGGTCTTACAACCATGTTGCTAGCTCGGGCTTTATTTTGCACAAAATTGGGGTCACCAATGTGTAGCATATCCCTATGCATGTTTATGCATAAGCAAAGGCATCTTAAAGTTTGCATTTGAATAGAAATTCAACAATAACTAAAGAGTACATTCACCGGTGAAGTTCATGTGGTGGTAGTGGTCAGATAATAATCGGCTGATATACTAGCCCTTATTAGCATGTCAACATTGCTATATATGTCTTATTTCTCTTTAAGATTTGGTGGTGTTAATGAAAAGAACTGTATAAATTTCAGAGAAAGCTCCCCATTTTTTTTTCCAAAGTATTGCTAGAAGGTAGAACATCTTCTAAAAATAAGTTGGTGCTAATGTTTAGGTCACTAGCTTTGGCTAATTATGCAATTCATTCTTACTTAGATTAGTGGATATATAGTTCTGTTAACCGGGTTTGCTGGTTGAAACTCTCGAGCTTTATTATGTTGGTCTTTGGAAGGGCATTATTAGGGTGGCAAGTGAAACAGTAAAATATACTTTTTAATACTTTCACAAGATATTAAATCAAAATTACGCTAGATAATCAAGGGTGTTGATTATTTTTACACAAATCTGACATATCCAACTTGATCTGTGACCCAAGTATGTCAAACCAGCTTCTTTTCAGCAAAATTACCACAAGTAATGCATGGCCATAGTTGATTTTTAACCTCCACACCCTTAGAAGATGACTTCCGTCCTTTTTATGTTCAATACATTGCCCTCTATTTTTTAAGAACAATTTTATAGTTGTTCCTGATCCTTTTTTGGTAATTTAGCAGTCCGTAACCCAATAAGATGCAAAAGGTGAATACCTTGACCCAAAAACTCTTCACACTCTTTCACCAGAATCAATTTCTTGACATGATGACGGGTGATTTCAAGTGGGCATACAAAAAATTAAGAATGATTTTGTTATGGACTCTGTGATGTTGTACAAATGGTAGACGTTTTTTAAGATCTGAAAGAACGTTGTGCTCTACTTTAATATGTGACTAAGTTTCTATCGTTTCATATAGCAATTTAGTCTTTAATTTACTATATTTTTATCATGAACTTAAAATTTTTTTGTATCAGTCGGTGAATTGTATTGGTCATGTCCCCCCTACAACCACAAAAAAAAAAAATGAGAATGCTGGATCCACCCCTGATTTTCATGGCAGTATATTGTNAATTTTTGTATCAGTCGGTGAATTGTATTGGTCATGTCCCCCCTACAACCAAAAAAAAAAAATGAGAATGCTGGATCCACCCCTGATTTTCATGGCAGTATATTGTACTTGATTAGAATGAACTTCTGCAAAATGAGAATGCTTTCTAGGTAGCAATCCTGGTTGAATTTCTTCACTTCCAATTTTAAGTACCTGATGCATGGGTTTTATGGTGATGTCAACTCTTCTAAAAGATAGCAATCCCTGTCAAGCCAAGGTTTGACGAGAAGTTTTAATCAGAATTACATATGATCAGACATCAGCTCATGAGCTGTTCGCTGCTTATCAAATGCAAAAATGGATTGTACTCATCTCATTTTATCTTTATTCCCCTTTTTATACCACTTCTCATGCGTGAAATGGGTCTGCAGGTGGACCTTAGGAATAAGATGTCCATGCCCAAATTGCTTAAGCATGATCCCATGGGTCCACCTTGATGCTTCTGCCTTCATTAGTTTCATGGGCATAATGGACTTGTACCTGCTAAAGATATGTTGTCCGTGATTACCTGCTTGTGCCATGAATTACTCTGCTATGGGTGACTGGTACACAATGATACTGCAATATGAACCCGCCCTGGGCTCTCAATGCAGGACAGATATTTAATGGACAGGATATGCTCATCTTTAATAGTTGAATATCTGGTGAAGTCAGTCAATGCTTGTTTTCTTCACACGTGTTCATAATATTCAGGTATTTCGGTACCCTATCAATGCAAAAAATTCTGCAAGCATTTTTGTGCTAATCTTATCTAAACTTCTCGAAACTACTGATAGTTGACAGTTTGATGAAACAGAATTCCAGTATTGCCTACCAGCTCTCAGTCTGACCTATTCAGAATCAGTTCCTTGCTCTATGTTGTTTTCTTGGTGAGAAGTTTTAAACTTTGTATACTTATCCTTTAGTCATGATACTTTATGTGAGGAGAAAAAAAGGAGATGAGAATGAAATACCTGCGTCCTAAAATGTAAGAAATGCAAAAGAAGTGGGAAAAAGATCCAAGTATTTTCATAACCTGGAATTCCTTTTTCATACATATTTCCATTGGTGCTGGATAACTTACAACACCATTATATAAAGTAGTTTTTGCACTTGGTTGGCATGCTCTGGAAGTGAATTTATAATTCAATATGTAAGGTGGACAAAGTTGCCTTTCTTGAACTGTATATTACATGACTCAATTAGATGAACTTTAAAATGCTTCTTACATGATTTGAATGCAAACTTGCTTATTTGTTTCATGTTCCTGTGCAAGGTATGATTTTGGCTTCTACTTGTATACCAGTACATTAATTTTGCGTTCTATGATCCTATGAGATGGGTTAGCAGCTGCTGCATGTTGACTTTTCCACTTGTGAAAGCAAGAAAACACATTGCCCGCTGGATTGAGTTTATAGAGATGTGAAGCTATTTATTCAGTATTGCTGCAAAAAATACTAGTTATCGTTGAAGTTTTAAGGTAGGGAAATAACTCAGTAAAAATTATGAATTTCTATAGAGTGAAATAGTTTGGTATAGAACTTTCTGTTTTTCTTTGGTATATAATATTTTCATCAATCTTTTTTAATCTCTCTTTAACGATTGGCCTGGTTTCTGTTGGAAAATAGACAAGCTCAGAAGAATTCAGCTGCCATTGATATGTTCTAATACTGTACATATCATCAAGTCCCTCTGTCTATGATTATGGCTTCTTCATACTTGTTTTTCTATTTCTGACTAACCAACACCCTTATTTCTTCCTCGACACATTTCATGCTTTTAGGATGAAAAATTATGCAAACACATAACTACACTGTAATGTTTGTTGTATTCTGACGTTATAAAATAATTGTTGATGGTCATGCTGTCTTCACATCGTTGCATTTGAGGATTAATCTGAATCTTTCAAGCTTAAATTTGTCTGTTAAGTTGCCAGGGAAACCATATAAACTCTCTCATTCACAGTGCATGGTTACCAAATTATGTTTTCATTTCCTTTTTATGTGCTTACTGTCTCAGGAATCGGATGGTAGAGCAAGAAGGGGAGGTTCCGATTGTATAGGCGCGTTGTACTGTTGGTGAAGCCCAGTTTCGGGTTATATCAGAGAATGCACATAAACCCAAGGAAAAAATATGAAACTATAACAAAGAAAAGGGGTTGGTGTAATAAGCAGGTGAGTGCTTGTTTTTTCGTCAATCAGGATATCTACAATTGTACTCGAAACAATAAACATGATGTACAGAGGAAAATAAAACCTTTGTTTGATTTGTATATGATATGCAAACAACTGGTATGGTATCTTAATATGTCTATTTGGCCAACCAACAGAGGCTTGAGTTTCTGATGCTACTTGGAAAAATAGCACAAAATATTGTTCATTAAATTAAAACCCCATTAGAGATAAACTTTGCACAATTCATAACAAATCATGACTGTGACTGCCACGGCCCCACGTGATGAATCCTCTCCCCTGAATGTAATTAACCGTTATCTCACATAGAGCAGCCCCTCTGTATTATTAAACTCTTTTGGGGGTAAGTTTACAGCATTATATGGAGATTTACAACTAAATAAGGGATGAGTTGCTACTTATTTGAGTTCAATTACAACTCGATGGAGTCAAGATTCAACTTAAAAAAATTGGTGTGGATCCTAAAGTTAAGATCAATTTGAAATAACCTCATTTTGTTGTAAACTCGTCAGATTCAGTTGGAATTTCGCCTTTGTTTTGCAATAATTTTTGTGGTATTGATACGTAACTCTTTGGTACCATAGTTTTTCCCACTCTTTTGGGGATTGCGTTTCAAAAACTTCAGTGAGGTACCTTATAGTCTTCCAAATGATGCACTAATTTACAGTAATTTCAAAGGTTTAATCTATATATGTTCGGCTACATTATATTGATCCTTTTCTAGTGGGAAATGCTCACGTTATAAAATGCTCAACTTCTTGCATGTTCTGAACAATTCAGGTAAGAGCTAAAGCTGTAAATGATTTGCATCCATGGGCTGAAAAACATGATCAGGATCTGATTCTAATGCAGCAACCATCTCTGGCCACAAGATTGCAGACACAGTCCAAGAACCATCACCCCTTGCACTTTGCCTTTGGTTCATATACCCGACTCCAATCTTCTCTATGGTAGAACAGACAGTGCCCACCACTGGGTTCCCGAAACCAAAGTCCAATTCAGCCACCGGAAACCTTCTTCCTGATGACACCACTAGGGCAGGGCCCCCGCGGCCTAAAACAATCNCTCTCTATGGTAGAACAGACAGTGCCCACCACTGGGTTCCCGAAACCAAAATCCAATTCAGCCACTGGAAACCTTCTTCCTGATGACACCACTAGGGCAGGGCCCCCGCGGCCTAAAACAATCTTCGATAGCATCAATCCTGGCCTGTGGCATTCGATCCAATCGATCAAATCCAAGAAATGAGTTTCAGTAGTTACCTTGTTAATGGCTTCATGGACAATCTGGGCAACTTCTTTTACAGACCCTTGCTTCAATTCAGTCACCCTTGCCTCCGCAAAAGCCAGAGACAATACATTTCCAATGTAATTGCTCATGGAGTTCTGATCTTTAAGCAACCTAGTTCTTCCATCAACTAGCCACCCCATCATACATTTTTCGTGGCTTTTATCGATTGCAGTAACCAGAATCTTCCAGACATAAGCCGAGAAAGCCTCAATTTTTGTTCTTTTCTCACCATCAAGATCTGCAAGTCTTTGCAACATGTTGATACTTGAAACATCGACGTAATAAAGGCGTTTGAGCAAGATTTTTGGTGTTGGAATGTTGGTTATGTCTTCTATGGAGCAGGAGACAAAGGTTTGGTCTAAGGATGGATCGTAAGTAGGAGGAACTCGGGCACGAAGATGTCTACTGTGGTCTGGAGAGCATGAGATTGTCTTCTTTGTGGCGATTTCAGACCATGTCACTAGGAATTTACTAAATGCACTGGCATCTCCCAGTGCATGATCAAATGTAAACGTTATCGATATACCTCCACAAGTGTAACCTGTGACTTGGATTTGCAATGGAAAGTCATGATTGATAGTGACTAGTTTTCCCTGAAGAAATTGGTTAAGATTGTAGAAGTTCAGTTCTTTTAGTGAAATGTTAGCTTGTGCTTCTACAAGAAGGGTACCATTGTTGTCACAAATGATCTCAGGCTCACCGGTGTTCGGGTTTTGAACAATCTGACCAGCAAATGGGTAGAAATATCTAAGAGTTTCAGCAAGGGAATACTTGAGGGACTCAATGGTGGAAGTGAAATTATCGACAAGGGGTCTGCGGTAGAAATAAAAATATGTTACTGGAAAACGGCCGGAAAGAAGGTCGAGGTTTGAGAGAGTGAGAGTATGAGGCTCCGGCAAAGGACCGATAGCTTTTATGACAGTTTTTCTGTTGAAGTTCACTTCAAATGTGCCACAGGCTGCAGACTTTACTGCCATTAAAATGGTTGAACAATGATATCTTTTCTAAGGTTTTTTTCACTGTTTGAGGCAGTGGTAAGTAATATAACTTGCTGAAGTTACAAACATAACACAAATATATAGAGGATCAATAGCTGAATAGAGGAAGAGTTGGTGAAAAACTTTCAATATGGAGTACAATTTATATAGACAATGAATCAGGCCATTGTTCTGGTTTACATGGATTTTCCACTCTGAGCCATGCATGAGACATCAATTTGGTGCACTTAGCATTACTCAATAAATAATGATGAAAAACTAATGAAGACCAATGAAGTATTTCTTTAAAAGGATTGGAGCTATATGAGGGGACTAATGGCATCTCCAATGTTGATCCAAATTCAAACACAAATTTGAGCAAAAAGTTTTATTTGATATTAACTACTCCAATGGAAAAATCCAATTTCATACCCAAATCTTTTTTAAAAAATCCTTATATCATCTTAAAAACTATTTTCTTTCATTTTTTTCCCGTCTTCATGCTTTATCAATTTCAGAATTCCAAAGACGTCAGTCGCTCGCCCAAGTCTTACCCATCATCTTCTTTAAGGTTGCTCGTCAATCTTTAATCATCCCCTCTTCAAGCTTTAATCATCTCCTATTCAAAGTTTTATCGGTTTTGGGTAGAACTCCTAGCCATCATCTTCTTCAAGGTCCTCGAACTGGGGAGGAGTGGCGGAGGAGATGGAGGAGGAAGTTTTGGTTTGATGTTCCCTCAATTTGGGTTAAAGAAAGCGTTTTCTTTGATTTGATATAAGTTTGACTCTAATAGTGAATAGGGTTTTTAGGTCATTTTTACTCAAATTTAAATTTGAGCAAGGAGTAAAGATTGCCTAAATAGTGGAATGAAATACTTGTCCAAAGCTCACGAGTAAATATGTAATATAACGGTTACACTATGTCAGCATTGTCACTTAGCGAACATTAAACGGTAACACCCAATATTTTACTCCAAGTCCCACTTCCTGATCACTTTTAGCTTGACTGGACTTGGCTTCACTGCTCTTTCAACCTACCATCATAGCTTCTCAAGTGGCATTGAATTTTTTGAAGGAGGGTTCAAATACTAACATGGTTCGGTCTTAAGACGTACATTTACATACACAAAACATTGAAGGTGCTTCATCTTTCAGATTTTCACTTGATTTTATACTTGACTCACACTGCAGAGCAAAGGAAATATTAAACGATGAAGTAATTAATCAGTAAGTATTGGAATCAACCTGTGCTTCTCACCTATCGATAATCGATCCTTTTAACAATCACGAAGATTTGATTGCATCATTGCACTCACCCATTAGTCATCTGTTTTTCAACAAGTGGGATGGTGCATGTGTTGTATGCAGAATGCTAGAGAAATGGCATTCTGCAGTGAGAGAGAGAGAGAGAGAGAGATGGCAATCCATTTAAGGAAAGAAATGAAATTATTGGAGTGAGAAAGAGATTGGGGGAGATGTCCCTTTCATCTTTTAGAGGTCACAAGTGGGCATTATAGCTGATTTGAGATTCAAGTCAAATTTGGTCTGTGGCATTTGCATTCTGAATAATGAATCTGTGTTGGTGGTGAACCCACTTTCTTTTCATGATAGTTGTGTCATTAATTGTTTTTTTTAAAATCATAAGTCGTAACAGAAATAAGAGTTTAATTCCTCAAAGTGAGAAAGAAAACTCCAACTCCACACACCTAATTAAGGTGCAGAACTAGAGGGGATCGCCACCGAATATCCATTTTATTTTAATCGAGTCATTGATAGAATAAAAAGAAAACAGTATCAAANTAAATCATAAGTCGTAACAGAAATAAGAGTTTAATTCCTCAAAGTGAGAAAGAAAACTCGAACTCCACACACCTAATTAAGGTGCAGAACTAGAGGGGATCGCCACCAAATATCCATTTTATTTTAATCGAGTCATTGATAGAATAAAAAGAAAACAGTATCAAAAAATAGTTTTATAATACTGTAATACAACCCGCATCTTTTTGTCACTATAAACTTAATTTCAACAAGCTAATAGTGTTGGTGACAACATGCCCTCAGTCCATTCTTCTGGGAAGAGAAAGGACCGGTTGCACTAACATCATGTCAATAACTTTAAATCCTCAGTGGTAGTGCTTGTCCTCTTTTAAGTATTGACTGGCTTAGTGTTGCTCTCAGCTATCAACTTATCACAACCGCTCGTGTCAGCATCAGAAAAATAGCATGAAAAAGAAAATGAATTTCAACCCACATCATGAGAGGATTAGTTTTGGTCAAGTGAATGCAAATGCAATCTTTCTGTAAGATACCTCCAGTAATTCAACCATCATGGGAAGAATGTAACAAGATTTTTTTGTAGGATTAGTTTTTTGGCAAGTATAAACCATACAAAAAGATTGTTTATAGTGCATAAGTTTCCGATTTATAACAAGGTCTTGAGGATATAAGTAAAGTTGTTAATTGAATTGAGTCACTCGAGTTCGATTCAGATTCGACTTGTTCAGGTTTGACTCGTTTTTTAAACAACNCGAATTGAGTCATTCGAGTTCGATTCAGATTCGACTTGTTCAGGTTTGACTCGTTTTTTAAACAATCTGAACTTAAATAATTTTTTAAGCTCGTTTGAAAACGAGTCCGACAGGGTTGACTCATTTATGTGCAAATATTCGGGTTCAGCTCATTTTGGACTCATCTAGGCTCGACTTGTTATCTAAATGAGCATAACTTGAACAATTTTTTAGATTCGGTTAAAAAAACGAGCTTTTTAGACTCACTCGCTATGTTAAGGCCCCCCTGAAACAAGTTATTGAATTGTTCCTCACCAAAAAAATGAGAGATATATATTACGTTCATCTCATAAAGAAGGTTCTTTTCACTCCTAAATGAAAGTGAAACTATAAGAGAAAAACATAACTCCCAATGCAAAAGAGTAGCCTCTACGATGCCTATGCATGAAGTGATTCGAGCTCATTCGACTATCAACCCTAGATATAAATAGTAAATAGTCTTATCTTTATTTGGGGAAAAATAAACATGATCCCCTGAACCACCATGTTTAGGCAGATGATAACTTGATTGTATGATTTCAATCTAATNTGAATTGAGTCACTCGAGTTCGATTCAGATTCGGCTCGTTCAGGTTTGACTCGTTTTTTAAACAACCTAAACTTAAATAATTTTTTAGACTCGTTTGAAAACGAGTCCGACAGGGTTGACTCATTTATGTGCAAATATTTGGGTTCAGCTCGTTTTGGACTCATCCAGGCTCTACTTGTTATCTAAATGAGCCGAACTTGAACAATTTTTTAGGTTCGGTTAAAAAAACGAGCTTTTTAAACTCATTCGCTATGTTATTTGATGTTAAGGCCCCTGAAACAAGTTATTGAATTGTTCCTCACCAAAAAAATGAGAGATATATATTACGTTCATCTCATAAAGAAAGTTCTTTTCACTCCTAAATGAAAGTGAAACTATAAGAGAAAAACATAACTCCCAGCGCAAAAGAGTAGCCTCTACGATGCCTATGCCTAAAGTGACTCGAGCTCATTCGACTATCAACCCTAGATATAAATAGTAAGTAGTCTTATCTTTATTTGGGGAAAAATAAACATGATCCCCCTGAACCACCATGTTTAGGCAGATGATAACTTGATTGTATGATTTCAATCTAATGCTCTTAAAACAATCTGCCATAGCTGTGACTAATATACAAAATGAAGACAAAGTTGAATAACAGACTAACTTATTGGAACCAACAGAGAAAACTTTTGGGCCTGCAGGCTTCCAGTGAGTTGAACTACCTTCTTGGGCTTGGCCTACCTAAGGACCAAAAAATAATGCCATAGACATCCACTGAAGAGTTATGGGCCATGAGTTGTCATGCTGCAGGGTATACCAGACCATCGCCTGGGGCCCATGGGTTTTTAGGAGCCCATGGAATGAGTGTCGGGCCTAAAATCANATTTTGGGCCTGCAGGCTTCCAGTGAGTTGAACTACCTTCTTGGGCTTGGCCTACCTAAGGACCAAAAAATAATGCCATAGATATCCACTGAAGAGTTATGGGCCATGAGTTGTCATTCTGCAGGGTATACCAGACCAACGCCTGGGGCCCATGGGTTTTTAGGAGCCCATGGAATGAGTGTCGGGCCTAAAATCACAGAATGTATTATGTTGTCAACGCTCACCACCGTAGTGAGAGGGCCCATAGTTTAAGCATGAAACCTTTCATTAATTTAAAATTTAACCTTATCAAACTATTGTCATTTTTTTAATTTAACATCAAATGAATATTTAGTTTTATTAAAAAAACATACAAATTTATTCAATTAACATTAAATTCAATCAAATTAATACTAAATTAATATTTAAATTTATCAAAATTTAGNCTTATCAAACTATTGTCATTTTTTTAATTTAACATCAAATGAATATTTAGTTTTATTAAAACAACATACAAATTTATTCAATTAACATTAAATTCAATCAAATTAATACTAAATTAATATTTAATTTTATCAAATTAAAACTAATTTAATATTTAAATTTATCAAAATTAAGATCAAATTTATTCAATTAATGATAATTTTAAATTTTATATATGAAGTATGATGTGTAAGGAGCGGTCGGGCGACGTCGTGGAGTACATATGATAGTAGAGAAATTAGAAATGGATGAGATTTTGATATTGACTTTATCAATTGTAATTTTTATTATAGAAAAATTATTTTTAATTATAAAAATTATTNGATAATTTTAAATTTTATATATGAAGTATGATGTGTAAGGAGCGGTCGGGGCGACGTCGTGGAGTACATATGATAGCAGAGAAATTAGAAATGGATGAGATTTTGATATTGACTTTATCAATTGTAATTTTTATTATAGAAAAATCATTTTTAATTATAAAAATTATTATGATAAAAAAATATAAAAATTATAAAAACTTGATTATGTAATCAAATGAGTGATAATATGATGACTAATATTATAACAAAGTTATA